CCCATTTCACAAGCCTCTCACTTCCGCACTTCTCGTACTTATAGTACGCACCGTACGTAGTACGCGTAGTGCGCGTACTTCAAGCGTGCAGACCCTGAATTGGGACACAGCTCCAGTCTCCGTTGGCCGACAGGTTCATATCGTCTCTCGATTGCTTGTGCCTGGGCCGGCAGGGTGAAAGTTGAGGGGTCGTTCAAATCAGAAAACAGGAGACACGTGCGGATTCCAAAGCAGTAAGTTGAAAGACCAAAATTTGTCAGATGTGGGTCGATGGTAATAATCAAGTAAATCAGACGTTCTGAGCTGATTTGTATGCGTGCAGGCGGCTAGCAGCACCGGGATTAGTCCATGTTAGTATCAATATATGCTGCGTAGCTAGCCGTTAGCATTAAGCATGTCAGTGTGTTTCTGTGATGGGACTTCTACTGGTTTATCATTCTTATAAATGATTTTGTTTTTACTTTATAAGTTAAACTAACTCCGACAGATGGGCAAATAAACTCGGAACAACAAGTACTCTATAATATAAAACGACAGAATGCATAAAAACGATCAGTTCTAGATTATGAATTGATGACTTTTGTTTAAAACGGTAAAGAAAAATTAATCACTGCTGTAAAGACTTCTCGGGCTGCTTTTAAATAGTGCAAAGCGATACACTCTCAGGCCACTTCACTAGGAGCACCTTGCTAATATCGGATTTGATCCCCTTTTCATTGAGAGCTTCCTTAAATCTTCGTGGATTCATCTTGAAAACATTCCTCAGAGATTTTGATCCATGTTGACATAATAGTATTACACAACAGCTGCAGATGTGTCAGGTGCATTTCCTCACCACTGTGAGAATCTCCTCTTCCACCACATCCCAAAGGGGACCATATTGAATTGAGAGCTGATCACAGCAGTTCACAGCAGAAAACTGAGACTCGTCAGACCAGCCAGCTTATTTCCAGTCTTTTTTTGTGCTCATAATTAGTTTAATAGATATAAATAATCAATTGTTTGATCAATAAAGTGAAAAAAACCCCACCTTGAATGTAGTCACATCCGGTTGTAATCCAGATGTTAGACAGATGGGGAGCAGTCTAGTGAGTACAGAGAGTTTGCAATGATGGGGATAACTGATGTCTGATAATTTAGATGAAGCCTAACACAACTGTTTTGCTGTTTGTTCATAGGTAAAACTCACAGTGTCATTACATATATATGTGTATATGTGTGTATATATACATTACAACATATGTCACAAATACACGCATTGGTGCTAAAATAAAGTCAAGCAGCCATTTCTATAGAACACTATGTCCCCTCACTCTTGACACTATTTCCTGTTATTTAAGTAGGAGTAGGTGAAGTTCAGGGTATTGACAAATACATATAAAAAGCTTTGAAGTTAAAATGATGTGGTTAACTGTGTCAGACAGCTTGTTTAAACACTGTGCCAAACTTAATTTGCTTGTCACTAAACTACGTCATGTGTATAGTAATTCTTTTCATTTTATCGCAGCTATTTGGAGGATGCTAATAAACTAAAAAAAATGGATGGAATAGTTTTTTCCCTTTTATATAAAAAACAGGATCTGAATATTACTTTATAACTGACAGACAGTTAAATACTTCTATAGCATCTATTTATAAAAATAAAATGAAGTAAAACTTCCAATTATTGTTGCATAAAATAAGGGTCAGGAAAAGCCTTACTTATCTCTTTCTGTTTCCTTGTCTGTCTTATATAATCTCAGCTAGCTGGTTTCACCATCACTGATGATTATCAGGAATATCCAGGTTTCCTCTTTCTTCTCCTCTGTGTAACCGCTCACTCCTTGTCTTCTTCCTGTCTTTCTAGACCTTTTGCATCAGCAGCTGCAGCGATGGCTGCCATCTACTCGGGTATCCACCTGAAACTAAAGAGCCCACAGACTCCATGGGATAACAAGCTGAAGCTGGCACGTTTTGCCTGGATCTCCTCACAGTGCCTGCTGCCCAACAAAGAACAGGTAAAAGTGGAAGCTTGTGAATGTTTGTAGCGCAGTAATTTCTTTTTTGGCGTGTATTAAGCAGCAGCTAACCTAAATCTGTCTGTAGGTGCTGTTGGACTGGTGCACCCATGCCCTCTCACTCTACTACAGTAAAAAGGTGGAGTTTTCCCAGGATTTCTTGGAAGGCCTGTGGTGCTACCTTGATGATGTGCTTCACAGCCGGAAGCTCCAGTCTTTCCTCAAGCAGGGAAAGACCATCACTCTCAAGCTCAACATGGCACAGGTACTCCAGCAGTTAAATCAGAAATCATGTCTGTGATATAACAGCACATGTGATCTCCTCTGACTCTGTCTTGTGTCATTAGAAGATAGTAAGAGCATGTCCTGCACAGTTCTGGGTTAATACTACAGTTGTAGCATGAATTGATAAAGACGCAATTATACTAAAAGGTCCCAGAATTACTAACTTGACAAGTGGAAGTTTTACTCACAGCTTTTTCTCTTTACTTCCAGCTGCTTGACCAGCTGCAGAAGTGCGCACACGTTGGCTCCAAGTCGTCGGGGTGTGTGTCCTATATACTGAGCGTGTGTCAGTGCATTTTCTCTTCTCCTGCACTCTCATCTGTTT